AAGGGACATACGTTACAAGACAATTCCTCCTTTCATAGGGGACTACCGATACCCTTTTTTCAAGAGTGTATTTGCATCTAAGACAGCTTCCGTGTTAACTATAACGGTTTGTTAAGACTGGTCTGTTTCTTAGATGAAAGGTCAGCGCCGGCTGACATGTTTCTTGTGGAAAAGACGAGGGAAGAGAGGGAGTTTGAGTAACTACCTCGAAAGCTCCTTTTCCTATATGGAGCTCGAGCCATGTTCAATCAATCAATTAAAATGGTTTATTTTTCTCCATTTGGAGATGAAAAACCGAGAAAGAACAACATAACAGTTGCTTGACAGGTCTCCATCTCCCCTCAGCAGCAGCCGAAACAGCAAATAAAACAGTTAACACACAAAACGAAATAGTTTATGTAATTATTCGTTTGAGAAAAACACAAAGGCAAAGAAAAATGAAAATCACCACCCGTCATGCACTTAATAACACTGAAGGCTCAACGAAAAATAAAGCAAATATTTGTTTACCAAAGTCAAACGTTCTATGTTTAATTCCTTCAAACGATTTAAAAGACGAGGAAGAGTATTTCGCAACATCTCAATTCCATAATTTCTTCTGGAGTTTGGCACTAACCACGTATCCGCGCTGCGTGTGTCATGAATCGTGTCTCTTCTTGTAATCTGTGAGATAGACAGAAATATGTTTTCTTTGTGATGAAAAGACTTTTTTTAAGTAATACAAAGTTTATAATTATCGAAATTTGGAATCTGTTCAATATTAAGTTTTTAAACAATGGTATTGTATGAGCACCGTATGCAGCATGGCATAGAATCCGTCCAACATTTGTTGTGCGTATCATATCAATACAACGTGGACGTTGTATTCCCCCAAGCCGAAAAAACAGTAATTGGAATGCACATAAAATAAAGAATTATACATAAGAAGCATTGCGGACATTGGGAGTATATGACGATGTTTGTACATAACACCTACTACCTTTGCGAGTTTTTGACAGGTATAATGCATTATTTCATCCTATAACATGTATTGATTAAAAATTACAGCCAAAACTCTTAACACTTTCGACTATAACTATCTTATAGGTACCGTGGGAGAGAGCAGAGGTATGAAAGCAATTTTTATTTCTTGCTCTAAAAAGAACGGCTTTAGTTTTACTACAATTAATTTGCAAGGAATCAGACGCTGTCCAAGTATTTAATTTATCTAGAAATTGTTTCGCGGTACTTATAATCTGCTCAGTACCCGTATCTGGAAAAAAGCACACTGGTATCATCCGCGTAAATAATACAACGTACATTGCCATCAAGATTTACTATGTAATTGACATACAAGTTAAAAAGGAGTGGTCACAAAATACTACCTTGTGGCACTCCAGCTGTTAATGGCTGCATTTAAGATCGCTTTTTATTTCTTTCAACGCACTGGTAGCAATACTGAAGATAACTTTTAAATATACTTAGGGATCTACCACGCACCCATACATATAAAGCTTTTGGAGCAAAATATTATGATTGAGGCGGTCAAAAGTCTTTGAAAAGTCTATAAATACTCCAAGTGTTAAAAGCTTATTTTCTATATTGCTTAAGTCTAACTCCTTTTGCTTTAATAATGCAAGTTCTGTAGATCTGCCTTTTCTAAATCCATATTGACAATCGGTAAGAATAGAATATTTCTCACAAAAACTATACAACCTGTTATGTATAATATTTTTAGTCCTTTAAAAAATACAGGTAGAACGGACACTGGCCTAAAATTTCCCAAGTTGTTTTTTTCCTCACATTTGTACAGTACCGTCACCTTTGCCACCTGCATGTTTTTGGAAAGGCTGCATTCCCTTGTGCCACATTAAATATATACGTCAGACAGGCAGAAATGCACCGCAATACATATTTTACAGGTTTAATTTGAGGGTCATATATATCAGTGCTTTTACTATCCTTTAAATTTTTAGAAAGCTGAGTAAACATCATCTTCGTCAGTTGGAAAGAAAAAGAAAGTAGGAGAAATACTCTGCACATATCTAGAAGCATCCGCATAGTGTACACTTTGAAGAAGGTTAACCAAATACTCATTTAATGTTTCCGCTAAAGTGGATCGCGTTCAGTTAACAACTCTGATTTCCATTTCCGTGATCCGATGCCCATAAGATCCTTGCTTAATTATCCCATTCAATTTTTTCCACATAACATCTGGTCGCTTAGTATCTAGAAATAGATTGTCAAAATAAGCACGTTTAGCTTGCCTTAAAATATTTGTTTGCTGATTTCGTTCCTTTTTTGAATTTAAAGAATATACTTGCGTCTTTAGTGCGCACAAATTGGTGGTAAAGAGCATTTTTTATCGTTCTTAATATATCTGTCGTAACCCAGGGTCTACGAGGATTTCGGGAAACATATTGCAATTTGTAAGGAAAACAGCGGTCGTACACGATTCTAAACTGTTCAAGAAAACAGTCAAACGCCCCATCTGTCGACACGCTGTACAGTACCGCACTGCAGTTTACAGAAATCATATGGCGTTCAAAGTGTTCAAGGATTTAGCGCTTATATTCCTGAAGTATACTTCAGGACCGCGAGTTTCTTTTCACTTATAGCTCACATTAGAAAGTAGATTCGCCTTGGTTGCCTTCTCGCTCATAAAACTTCGCTGCTCGAATCTATTCTTCATTCAGTTTCCAGATATGTTACTTATAGTTTCCCGCTCTCATCAAAATAAAGATAATTATTCAATACCAAAAATTGCGTTAAGGTTTGACTTCAACACGCAAACGAGAATACAATAAAACGTTTTTGTAATTTCAAAGAAACACACAAGTCTGACTTAGCCTTGCAAAACGAACACGTTTTCACGATATTGAGGCTTAAATATAGAACGTAGAAAAAATGATAGACGACTATCATATAAATTCTAGCAAAAAATAAAAACAAAATACAAAACATTTTTTTAAATCGATTTCAAATTTGATACTTTTTTATTTTTGCATAATAATAACGTCAACCTAGTGCAAAGGGAATTTTACACAGATAAGTGGTTTTATAATATATATAAAGAGTATGGTTTGGGCTCTCTATCCACATAACACATGTCAAAGTGACCCAAGTGAGTCACATGTATCTAATTGTCAAAGTCTATTGACAATTAACCAAAGGGGCGTTTTCGACATTTTTAAGGAAAATCAGCAAGACGCCTAATTATTTTATAACATTATAGCCTTTAACTGTGCTCAAAGTTTGGTCAAATAAAAGTTTATATAATGTAGACTGAAGATCCACGGCGGAAGATTGCGTGAAACATACGACCCATGACGGATGTAAAAAACACTGCTATCCCCCGCGGCCTCTTTTAAGCTTTAAAAGCCGAGGAAAAAAAACCGACGAACTTCCGGTTTGAGGCAACTGTGTTTTAGAGACGACGCCATACCATAAATTTTTGTCAGCGAAATTAAAAATTCGATTTTTATTGTCTGCATGTTTTGACATGAAATCACCCTTCTATATATCTATATACATATATAGATGCTGTAAACGGGCCAAAAATTTCGCGGGGACCTAATTTTCGCGAATTTCGCGAATAGCCTGCAATTCGCGAAAAATAGGCCCCGCGAACATTCGGGCAATATGTGAACGCAACGGAAGCTACACTGGATTAGCGAAAATTGGAACCCGCGAATAATTTCAAATTTTCAGCTTTGGCCCGATTTACGAAAGTTTTAGCCCGCGAAAATTAAGTCGTTTACAGTGTGTATATATATATACCAAACATGGATCGATAGCGCTTTGAAAAGACCGCATAAATTGGTTTGTTAAAATATCGCGCTGGGATTTACTACAGAGCTGCTAGAAAGTGATGCATACATTAATTGAGAGTATGAATACATAACTTTTCTGTAATAAAATAAAACATATATATATATATATATATTTGCTATAGAAAAACAATCACCAACCCTTTTTTCGCAAAATCATCAGAAAATCGATCTTGGATATTTTGACGTTAAAACGACTGAAAATTGTGTGAAGCGGAACGAAAATACACTCAGCTTGCCTATTCTTCACTTCAGTTGGTCCAAATATGCAACACAGTGACACATTTTGACTGTAAATAAAAAGAATAGGAAAAATATAGTTTTTTGTGTTTTATGTGGTGTACTCATAAAGGCCAATCTTTCTACCATATTTTCGAAAGCTTCCACCACCTTCAAGTGCCCCTGTAGTTAATCCTAGCGTGATACGTTAAGGACCCGATTCGTCCGGTTCCTTCAAACAACAATCGGTTCCTTTTACTCACACGCATGTATGTAGGTATTTATTTTGTGTTTTACCACAATAAAAGTGTTTAGGGCCGGCTGGAGGTGGTCGTTTTCTCCTTTCGTTGTGCAGTGAAAGTGAGCAGCAGTCATACCTGCATTCGTCCTTGCAGCAGGATCCTGGCTAACATTTCAGGAGGTTGTTCAGTGATACATACTAGTAAAAAATTAATAAACTCTAAGAAAATCTACAGCGTCTACTTTCCCTGCAAGGCACTTGACATGGTTAATGGTTGCAATTTACGGAGGTAGGTGGGCGCGCGGCAAGATTGATATTATGTTTATGCAACCCACCCCCCTCCCCCCCCCCCCCCAAAAAAAAAAAAAAGAAATACTCTGCGCTTTTTCACCGACCATGGCGTTTCGCCACACACAGTGTCACCGCGCAGAGTATTTTCTTAGGTGGAAACTTAATAGCCGTCTCATACGGCGAACTTTCAAATAAATATAAACCATACCAATAAACATATCCACAACGTTGTTAAAATCAGATATGCTGAGGCTGAGCTAATATAAAACGGAGATGAAACGCGTATTTTAGTGGTTACGAAACTTTATTGGGTCTTAAATGAGCGAAACACGAAAGCGCTAGTGTAGTAAAAACAAATGCTTCAATATTTAGAAGGAAAATAAAAGAACTTTAGAATAAGCTGAAATTCATAGCAAGCATTGTATTTTGAACCGGTCATCTTATGTCAGACAGGTGGAGTTGTAGACCTCGTAAATTGTTCCTTCGCAGAGCTTTTTGTAACGGCGAAGGCATCTTTGGATATCAGAATTCGTGGCGTTTTCGTAAGCCCACAACTGGCAGGCTGAAAAATAAACACAGCGTATCAAATGCAGACAAAATCTTGCAACAATCTGTTTTCGCATTGACATCTTTAATAAATGCACTGATCGTAACCACCTCTACGCTAACATTGGGTATTCTAGAAACGAATACACTTATATATTGAGTTTCCGTCTACTTGTTATTGATCCGCTTTTCGGCGTTATCTTTTAAAGCTGCAGTGTTGTTGTCTGCAGGGAGATAATAAGATCCTCAGGACTGTCCCCGCCCCACACTTTCTAGGGTATCAATAACAAAATAGCGACTTTTATGTGTCCTTCGATTATAAGCTGAATGTGACAATGCGAGAAATGTAACGTTATTATATTTTTTTTCTGCTAACAAATCAGTCCCAATCATATTCTTAGAAGGTAGTCCGTTTTTTACTGTCACTTTTGTCCCAGCTCAAACTAAATTTCCCGCGAATCTAGAGAAACATAGTCTATTTACTGGCATGTCGGCTATTGTTGATTATTATGCGAAATTTTTTGTTGACACGTCTCTTAAGAAGTTATATTAGATGAGAAGAAAAATTTCTAATAAATTTTATCTAGAGGGTCAATGGAGTGCCAGTATGCATGGTCTGCATTGTTTGTGCGCTCTCACATTACTGTGTCTGGGGAAAATAATGCAGTAATAATATGGCATGGGTAACATTTCACATTTCATTATTTATACGGACAAGTGCCTTCTAGTCTATTAAAAGTGTTAGAACTAAAACAACCACGATATGGGAAAGTATAAAATAAAAGGGTAGCAATTATAATGCAGAAAACATAGAGTATCTGCTTATTGTAAAAAAATCAAAATATTGTCAGCACAGCTTAATGAATATTTGCTTTGTCTTTTAAATGCCGTTGTGATGCGAAATCCCATGTCACATGTCTATGACGCGGATTTGTCTTATCTCCTCAGCGTCGAGGAGAACGAAAAGCTTATTAGAGTCACCTGGAATCGTAATCTAAGATTTAGTTTTCTTACCTTGTTGATAGTGGTTGAAGAAGATAGTGCATGTGTCGAAATTCGTGTACAAAATCGTACTCTCTGCTTCTTTCTCTCCACCTGCGTTCATCAAGCACTCTGTTACGCCAACGCGGCACGATAAAATTCGAGGCTCTCCACAAGATTTTCGAGCGTCGACGGAAACTCCAAGATATATTTTGTTTTCTGCGCGCATGTATTTTGTCTACAAAAACAAAGTTAACTTCGTAGATGCAATCGGTATTTGAAAGAACAGGACGTACCTTCACTTGTAAAGAGAGTGTGCGATATTTACAACGGTAAAACACTCTGGAGAGTTCCAGAGCCATTAATCTGTCTACGCTTAGGGTACTAGAATTCCGTTCCCCGATTTCGTTGTGTGCGCCGCCATTTTGCCTTCTTGTACGGGCGCAATATGTGATCATCACGATTTGAAAATTCGACTTCCCGAGCATTAGATGCGGTGTCAGAAACCTCAGGCGGTATCGTATCGCTCTTTCTTGCGGACTACTTTAACACTTCTTGATGATGGGGAAACCAGTTCTTAAGATAACTGGCAGCAAAAATGGGGAAGCACCAAAATGGTTCAACTGTCATTACTGTGCAAAATGACTTATTAGTGGCTCTAGGGTGGAAATAAAAATACAGATGACTTAGTTCGAGATTTAATTGACACCTGTTTTACTATGACAAATGAAATCAAACTTTCCACGCAAAAAAAATGGTCCTGACAATACTTTTTTCTTTTACTTTTGTTTACCCTTTTAAACTTTATATTTCCATTTGTTTTACCTGTATACGTGTAAAAAATAATCAAACGAGAAGTATTTATATTCAATAAACACGAGCAGACGGTGGTGCTTTCCGAGAAAATCAGAACGCTAAACTTTTGTTTCTTTCTACCTTTCCCTTTGTTGGTCAGCTACGTGACGTACTATTGCAAGCGAATCTTAACGCAAAAATAAAAAAAAAACGTAAATACAGATTCTGTTCTTGTATGACGGCCCTCATAATTATAAAAAAGTTCTTACTTATAGTGTGCTTTGTATTTACACTATTTCTTTTTTGTTGTTTTTAGTGATCAGAGGTACCGACCAATCAATCGGCTAGGTTTCAAAATACATCTAGTAATAAAGACTCACTATTTTATAGCTACAGTAATTTTTAAAAAAATACCGTGACTTAAATCAAATAATTTTGATTCAAATAAGATAAATGTGATCTAAGTAAAATACACCTGATTTTTTTACATTTTGTGTCAAGAACAAATCCAGATTTTTTTTAACACTACTGCTTATCATGGTCAACAGCTGGTACGCTGAACTAGTGTCCCCGTTAGTGTTCCTTTAATCGCCCAGCTCAAAAAGCTCGCGGCTCCCTGTGTCTTGTTGCTCGCCTGCCGTGACTCCTCTGATGATCTCTGCTTTGAGAAGTCAGCTGGTTTTTCAGCTGCTCAGGAGACGTAGAGATGGTCAGGTTCAAAAAATGGCACTGAACCGATGGCATGATGACGACAGTAAGAAATAAGTATTGTGTCGCCACGGCGAGGTCAAAATTTTTGGGCTCCAGCTGTGATGCCTTGAGACGTGTTAATGAATCTGTGTTTCGTCAATTGTCGACGTAGAAGACGAGAGGTTGGCGTCCCGTTCTGTGACCATAAAGGGTGGTTTGTACGGCGGTTGGAGTGATCCATATCAGGCACCGCCTGGACAAGACCAAAAACGCTTTTCGCTGTGCTAAGGACCTGGTGTGACTGGTGGGAACGGCACTCTGTCTTTTCGTAATGTTTCCAAAGAGTCTGGCTTAGCTAGAAATATCAGAAATGGAATATTGCGGAGTGGCAGTGTCCGGACGAATTCAACCAGTAGACACAGTGTTGTTTTTTCTCTTAAACTGTCACCTGTTGGCCTCTCTAAAACTTGTTTCGGGGCAATGTGGGCAGGCCAATCAGCGTGATGGGTGAGGGTGCACACAAGCAGCTCGGGTCAACATTCGCGTTTGGCGATGCCTTTAATAATCATGAAAACGCTCGACAAGACGATTGGAGCGACGATAGTATGACGTGCGAATTCATAAAGAATCAAACAGAGTTATGAGGTCTTGGAATAAGGAGGATCAAAAGAGAGCACCTTTGTTTGTGTGTTTGTGCGTGTGTGCCTGTGTACGCGTGCATGTGCGCCTGCATGTGCGTGTGGGTGCCTGCGCGCGTGCGTGTGCCTGTCTGTATGCGTGTGTGCGTTCGTGCGCGTTTGCGTGTGTATGTGTTTGGGAGTACGTGCTTATGTGAGTTTGTGTACGCGTGGTGTATGTGTGTGCCTATGCGCGTGCATGTGCCTTTTTGTCCCACGCAAGAACTTCGTCTAACATTTTATTGCACGTTAGCGAACAGAGCGACCTTGTGTCTACAAACGTTATTTTCATTTTACTTTTCAATATAAATTTGTTGTTTCTATATTTCCACATCACGAAGACTTACGCTTCTAAACGTTTGTTTTCTGTTTAGAACTACGTCTAATTGAGAAATTTCAAACATTAGTAATTTGAGATCTTATTCACGACCGGAAGTAGAGAAGTGTGAAAAGAATGCACTGATAACACAATAGTTCACTTACTGGTTTTGTTATATGTCCCTAAGAGTCCCTCGCAGTTTTCCACTTTTGTGACGGCAATATCGGTGTAGCTGAAAACCATTGATTGAACTGTTGTCGATACTAAAACTTTTTATTGCTATACACAAATGTGTTTGTTATTCACCTCATAGCCACGGTGAAAACCCCGTTCAGAAAAGTAAGAAGCTTAAAGAGCTTTCACCATTCTAAAACAATACCTCCAGATGGATGGCCCTTTAAAATGGGGGGGGGGGGGGGGGTCGTATATAGTGTTTTTTTTTCTAATAGGCAAAAGGTATTTGGTTTGCAATCTTATGTGTTTGTGCACATCACTTTAAAGTCAAAACCTATTTTTTTATTATAAGCCATGCATGCGGTTATGTCAGATATCCAAAATATTATTCTCCTGTATGTCCTGGTCACTTCAACATCTAAAGATCGATATAAGCTGCTTCTCCGCCAAGGAATTTTTGTGTTTCTTTCTTTTTTTTAATTTTTGCCAAAGTTAGCTTGGAAGAATTCAACGTGTCCACATTACCGAGCACGTCACGCGTCCGGAGTCGCGTACTAAATAATTTTAAAGAAAAAACAAAATCAAAAACATTTTATGTGTATCGTCATTACTGTCAGAGCGCAGGCGAACTGGTTGAAATTTACAATGACGATTTTAACACAAGACTGGGGCAGAAGGAGGAAATTTTTTTACAGTGGAAGAGAAAGTAACAGGTACAGACAGCGTCTGTAACACAGCTAATAATTTTATAAAACCGACCTTTTTATATACAGAACCACAAACGTCGCAGAACAACCGAACATCCTGTTTTTCAAGGTCGCTCGCACACCCTTCATCCACACCACGAAACAAGCTAAGTGAGGCCACCTACAAAGCGCAACCACTTTTTGGTTTAGACGAAGATAAATCTTGTACCCAACTATAGTCCGTGGCAACTCAAGAAGGCAGGGCGAGAAAAAGGAAGGTGGGAGAGCAGGAAGCGAACACAAGGCTGGCGAGGGCTGGAGGAAACCACCTCACTCGCCATCGTTGATTTCGATTCCTCCTCTCCTACGTTCTTTTCTCTCGCCCTACCTCCTTAACCTGCAACATACTATACCGGGTGTTTTTTATATACTACAGATTTGGTTTTAAAAAAGTCATGAAAGCTATACTTATGCGGCTTGTGCGAGTGAGTTACACCCACAGGGGGACACTATGTGGGTGGCTAATCTTTGCGATAAGTCGGCTAATGAATAAATATTCACTAATTAACTTCTTAGTTAGTAAGATAGGCATATGGTCCCAATAAGAAACTTGACGAGTGTAGTCCGAAACCCCCAAATCACTTATTTTCAGAAAGACTTTGCGCGCGTGAGAAGAGCAGTATTGCGCTGAAGTTACCCCTCATGAAGCAGGTACAAGGCAGGGGCTAGATAAGAGACGGAAAAATTGCGCGGGCGCCTTACCAAAACCGCTAGCCTTGTACCTGTTCCACGAGTGGTAACTTTAGTGCACTACTACGCTTCTCAAGCGCTGAATACCTTTCTGAAAATGACTGATTTAGTGGTTTTCGATAACGCTCAGCAAGTTTATAATTGAAAACAGGTCTATTTTCACTAATTAAAAGGTTAATTAGTGAATTTTAGTGAATTAACCGACTTGCACTTACGACGTGGGCAACACACGTCGTCCAATACAAGTTGCTGTTGTTTTTGTTGCAAAAAGCTGTCATACCGAGGCAACATTTTAGTTGCCGTCCATGTTGTGCTGCTGTTGGCGCGATGTGACAGGTTTGTCGGACAACACGGGGAGCGAGCAACAAGACGCCCCGACTTTTGGACAACGTGTTGTGTTGCCGTCGTGTTGCCTCAGTATGACAGAGCCTGAAGGCCTTGCAGCATAATGCTACTCACTTGATTTAACACTTGATGTTTATATTCGTAGGTGAGCTTTTCGCAACATCCGTCGAAAATCCGGTGAGCGTTCCTTGGCATCTGACATTTTTGCGGTGAGCTTTTCTCCGGTGAGCTTATCTCCGGTGAGCTTTTCTCAAGTGAGCTGTTCTCAGCCGTTCTGTTATCTATCGCTTGTACTATTTCTATTCCTGACCATTGTGCGCTAAATTTATTGCATTCGTCCACGTCTTTAGCTAATTCCGAATTTGCAGCGTTATTATTATATTTCTTTTGTGTTCCGTTAACCTGTCATTAATACACCATGAAGTTTACCCTACGTATTTAAAACAACTAGCCGAAGGTATTCCATAGACCATTCCATTTGTGTAGGAAACCGACTTCTCACGGTGGGCTCTTTGGCATTCATTCGAGCCTCTCTGAAATTGAGTGAGTCCACTTAACTTAAGATCAGAACTGAAAACGGTGTGTACTCCGAACTGTTCTACCATTGCTTTCATGTTACACGATATTTTATTGTAATACTGGATTACAGCAAACTTGTTTTTTTTTTCATTTCTGTTCTTCACTTTTCTCTGTGATTAGTAGACATAATTGTCTTTTGATGAACTGATTTTTATAACCGGCTTTGTTTAATCTTTTTTCACTGTATTTCCAATTATCTAGTCATAAAATGAATACAACACATGTCTAAGGCATTCCTGCTTAATGATTCCACAACCCCCGGCTTCGCAGTTTTTGAGTGGCGACTTAAATCTGATAGCACTGGGTTCGAACCTTCTTTTGCCATACCCCAGCGCAACCACTCTTCAGTATGAATTAACAAATCTAAACACTAAATGACTCCATTCTTGGGTTATTCCACCGTGAACGGAAGCTCAGGTTCTGCTGATCTAATCAACTTTTCGAGGCTGTTTGATAGACCATTGCGAAAAGAGGAAATCGCTATGTCAGCAACATATCTTTGAACAACACATGTATATGACGACTTTTGCAACCTATCAGACACAACGCAATCCAAGAAGTTTAGGTAAATTTCAGCTAACGCCGGTGCTACAGATGACCCTATGCACTCTTTCTTTTTTTATATACTTTTTAGGGTGCAGCTCTTAGGCGCCCGTTTCCGGCTTCAGTGGCGTCGGCGTCGCCGTCGGCGTAACCGGGCGTTGCATTACGGGACGTTTCCATAATGACGTCACACGTGATATCACGTCTGACGTCACCGTCGTGACGTCACACGGCTTATCGGAAATAATTTCCCCGCTATATTTAGCGAAAAAGTTCCCCTTAAATTTATTGAAAAAAGTTCGCGCTAGCGAAAAAATGTTTGTGCTAAGTTTACCGGAAAAACGTCTCCGCTAGATTTATCAGAAAAAATTACCCGCTAAATTTAGCCGAAAACTTTTCCCCCTAAATTTAGCGGGAAATGGAACGAACATTTTCAGCCAAATGGGACGAAAGCAGAAGAGGAGGAGGGGGAGAGGAGAAGGGTCATACTTTCCCCTCCATAACATCCCATCCTCCTCCTCCTCAAGAGCTGCGCTCGAATTACAGAGAATTGTAAATGTCTATCATTTTTCTTTATAGTATGCAGCTGTCGACTGCAGGTAATACTCAAGAATAAAAAGAAAACTATATATGTATATATCTGATTGTGATACAAATTTAACCACATTCAGCTCCAGAACTTCTTTCGCCCTCTTCAGTACACGACCCTTTTCCAGTAAATAGTAGAGATCCTTGATGTCCTTTAAGAAAAGTCACACTCCGTTTCATGGTGCTCCTTCAGTAGTTCGATCAACTCGTTTGAATTCCTCAGTGACAGAGATTGATCTAGATGGACATGTCCTGAACACTTTTGAAGAAACACGGAAACAACCTTCTGTTACGTTCCAGTTTCATTAACAACCACTCGAAGTGGCACCTCCGGTTTGTGATATTTTAGCAAACACTTCACACTCAATGCCGACCTCGGCGATTCTTCAAGTTCTTTGCCACACCTCAGAAATCGTCTTCCTTTAGGACTGTACTTTTATTATTCCCGGTTTTCCCTGTGTTCCTACCCCATTCATGGAACAAGGACTTCATGGCTGTCTCCGTTTTCATCAAAAAGGAGGACGTAGGAAGAATAGCAAATCTATCGGAATTATCAGTTTCTAACATTTCCAATGACCTAGATTTTAAATAATTCTTTATTGCTTTAATTATGCGAAAATTTTTTTCTTCTTTGGGTACAAATAATGCTGAATATTGGAAATTGGCTAAAAACGTGGACGAATGCAATAACTGTAGTGCACAATGGTCAGAACAGAAATAGTACACCAAGAAGTAGATAACATGAAGAGAGTTGTAAGAGAGACAACCCGGATAAAAACAACAGGAACATGTATCAGTCAGGCCTCCCTGCCGCTTTGTAGTACTTCAAAGTACAGGTCTAAAAAGTAAATTACTCCATTCTTGGGTTATTCCACCGTGAACTGCAGCTCAGGTGCTGTTGATTTAACCACTTTTTCTAGGCTGTTTGATAGACCTTTGCTTAAAAAGGAAATCACTATATCATCAACATATAATTTAAGAACACATGTTCTAACAACCCGAAGGAAACATTCATCAATGTAACCCTGTTTGGCAGTCAGTGTGTTCTAGTGGACCTCTGACTGTGCCTGACTGTACGTCAAGCATGTCTGATTGGACAACAAGTTACTCTGACCGACAGTCAAACTCCAGTCAGACTCCACTTGTCGGCTTTCTGATGGTTTCCTGGTGGCAGTCGGCCGCCGCGAAATGCCATCATGATGTCTTTATGGCGATTCTGATTGTACATCGATTGGCTCTGACTGCACGTCAAAAAGCTTTGACGTGCAGACAGACGTACGGTCAACGGACGTAAAGTTCGTTCGGATACCACTATTTCGTCAAATCTATGAATACGAAAAATAATCTATGCGCAAGAAAACGATTTCGGGACGTGAGCCCATAAAACCGCTGATGTTAGAGATATGACACGCAGCCGACCGTCAACCTTGATCAGAAGCCCGCTGAACACGCCACTTCGCTGATTTCGCTTCGCCCATAGAGGCTTCGCCGAGCTTTCATGAACGATCGCTCTCGACTCGTTTTGTTTGCCCGCTTGCTCCAACCTGTCGATCCTGCCCGGGCTCTA